TTTGGTACTTTTTAAAGGTGAGGGACAGTTTTGGTGCCAAAGTGAAAAGTTGAGGGACCAAAATGGTACTTAAACCAATATACATTTGAGAAAACTGAAAAAAAAAAAACAGGAAAGAAAAGATGAAGAAGTGGAGAGAAAAAAGAGAGGAAAGAAAAGGGAAGAGAGAAAAGAAGAGAAGTAGAAGGGAAAGAAAGTGAGGGAGAAGGGAAGCAGAAAAAAGAAAAGGAAGAAAAAGAAGAAGGAGACGGGAGGCAGAAAGAGAGGAAGAAAGGAAAAGAAAGAGAGGAAGAAGAGGAAATGAGGAAACGGAAGAGAAGTAGTGATATATATAAGACTTATACGGACCGAGTTCGGTCCGTATAATCCTCATTGGCGCGCCACACCAAAAAATTTCAATTTTTTCGGAAAAATTTCAATTTTTCTAGGAAATTTTTGGCGCATTAATCATATTCAGACCGAAATCGGTCTAAATATAAATAAATTAGCGCATAATCAATAAGATTCAAATTAACGGTAAAAATTTGACGCATAAATTAATTACGGACCGATTTCAGTCCGAATATATTTGTAAAATATCTTCCAGTGCACATTTTTATTCTTTTCATTTAAGGACATTACCATCTTCTCGTGTTCTAAATTCATTTCTGCGAAATAAATTCATTTCTGCGAAAACCAATTGCATGTACATCGACCCTACAGTCCCTCGGAATCACAAAACCATCGATTGTCTAACTGAAATTATCTTTCGATACTACGGAGTAATATCGTTGCAAAACCACGAACGTATAAGTTAAAGGTTATTAGAGATAATGTTACGTAATGCTCTTTCGGAGTAATAAGCAAATAAAATTCATTTTTTTTCTTAAGGTTAACCACTTTGCCTTGCAAACATTCGGAACGTTACGGTTTAAAACAAGAGTAGAACGACTTAAGCATGAAATAACAAAAAAAAAAAATAAAAGCTGTTGTTCATTGGAATATTCGGACCGATCCTGGTCCGTATATAGATATACGGACCGGGATCGGTCCGAATATAGGCAATCCGTGGGATTTTTTTATCTTAAAGCTAAATTAAATTAAGTATGAATATATACGGACCGGTATTGGTCTGAATATATGCAAAGAATCCAGATGCTTCCATGCTTTTCATTTTTCAGACCGATTTTGGTCCGAATATAGTAGAAAAAATCCACAAACTTCTTCCAATGCACATTTTTATTCTTTTCATTTAAGGACATTACCATCTTCTCGTGTTCTAAATCCATTCCTGTGAAAACCAATTGCATATACATCGACCCTACAGTCCCTTGGAACCACAAAACCATCGATTGTTAAGCTGAAATTATCTTACGATACTACGGAGTAATATCGTTGCAAAACCACGAACGTATAAGTTAAAGGTCATTAGAGATAATGTTATGTAATGCTCTTTCGAAGTCATAAGGAAATAAAATTAATTATTTTTATTTAGGTTAACCACTTTAGTTTGCAAACATTCAGAATGTTACGGTTTTAAACGAGAGTAGAACGATTTAATAATGAAATAAAAAATAAAATGAAAAGCTGTTGTTCAGGGGCATATACGAACCGATCCCGGTCTGTATATATATATACAGACCGGTATCGGTCCGCATATAAGGCCGTATATACCGGAAATGGAACCCAGGGGAGGAAAGCTGCTGTGAGGTAATATACGGACCGATATCGGTCCGTATATCATATGAGACTCATCTTCCTGTGGACTTCCGGAAATCTGTAACCAGATGAAGAAAACAGATTTACTTTATTTAATAATTACATAATATTACCAAATAATGCAAAAATATATTTTACCATTCAAATTAAATGCATTTATAAAAAA